GGGGCTGAAGGGAAACAGTCCTTCATCAGCTTGCTGGATGCCTAGGAGCCTCCTGAGGCCCCAGCGCGGAGCATTTAGTCCTACCTAGGAAGGAAAAACCCTGAATTTCAGAGAAACCTTCCCAGCACTTTCACAGAGGTCTGATGGCCTACGACCAAGCTGGAGACGTTCCCCCTTGTGGGCAGGGTGAGATGGGCCCCCTCAGCCCCAGCCTGCAGGCCTGGATCTGACCTGGGTCTTGTCCTAGGCTCCAAATGCACATCAATCCACTCTGCCAGGCCTCCTGGAGCACCCTGAGGATATAGGTAGATGGTAGTCTTCCCATCAGGGAATCAGGGCTTGTACACAGCTTTGTCTTTTCCTAGAGCTGTGGTGAGATTCTTGGTTTTATTTGGCTGCTTGATGCCTCAGTTTACCCAGCAGTGAAACAGGTGCTAAGGTCACAGGTGTGAAAAGCACTGGGGCCTGAAGAACTGCACGCTGTTAAGAGCAGAGCCAGTGTCTCCCAGCACACGGGAAGGGTGGGATTTGAGTGTGGGAAAGGGCCAAACTGCATAGCTAGGCTGGTACACCACCTTCCTCTCAGGTTGGGGCTGCGCCAAGGCCTCCACCCTGAAATGCTGATCGAAGGCTAGGGGCATGGGCACAGGAGGCAGGAAGAGGGAGGGATGTCAGCTATTCACCTCCGCCACTCGTTGGGAATCTCCCCTGCCCACGCCACATTCCTGAGTGCTCTTGTCAGCATCGGGGCCAGGCCCCTGAAAGGCACGAAGGCTGGGGGAAAGATGCCCATGGCCCAGCACCCTGCCCAGGACCCCTGACTCCTCAAGTGCCAGGTGAGGCTGGCTCAGGAGGGCAGGAAGAGCCTGGATTCCAGAGGACCCCTGGGAATCCCTCCACTCCCTGGGAGATTGTCTGTGGGAGGGAAAGCCCTGTGAGTACCTGGCTGGGATCCAGATGCCAACTTTAGTACCTAGTGCAAACGTGTTGCCTACCTGTCACACGGGGAGGGGGACACCCCTGCCCACTCCACCCCCCCCAAACACAAGGGGGCAGGAACAAACCTCACCGCAGGTAGAAGAGATTTCAATACAATCTATATTATCTCATATATATTTCTTCCTCACTTTATTTGCTCACTTCTGTCACGCATTTAAAATGTCAGAGACCAAAATAGAGTGGCTTTCTGGTGGAACTCATGGCAGTCATACAATGAGATACAAAACTAAGGGACTCTGTCTTCTCATACATCATACAATTAATATTTCAAGTATTTATGTACAAAGAACTACTCTATCTGGAAAAAAAAAAAAAAAGGTAGGCTATGTATCCTAGGAAAGGGGATGGAGCAGTCGGGCCTGGGACCCATCCCCATGTCCACATGGACCGCTTGTTTCCTGCCACCAAGATCCCCCAGTCCCATCTACCCACGCTAGTGGGCACAATCCAGGATGGGCAAAGACCAAGAGGGGCAGGAATCAGCAACACGCTTTGGCCTGGAAGGAGAAGGAAGATGTGTCAGATAAACAAATCTGTGAAAGCCAATGTGGGGGAGGCAGAGCTGCTCCTGGAACAGCTTGCACCTGCCAGCTGCCTTCCAGGGTGGCCTGGGATCATATGGCCAGGCCCTCCCAGATGGGTGGGAGAACTCCCCCACCCCACCCCACTCTCAGCCCCGAGCCTGAGGGGAGGGTGAGGCCAGGAAGGGAGGTGGTAGGCAGGTGCCCCACCAAAAACTCCTCCCAGACTCCAGGGAGGGGGCCTGTTCATTCCAGGGGTGACCAAAAGAGTTTGCCACAAGGTAAGGATCCTTCTTCCATCCCCCATCAACTTCTGCAGCCCAAGCCCAAGTGCTCCCTGGGTCTCCAAGGCCAGGACTCGAGGCCTGCATGAACATGCTATCTCCCAAGGTTCTTCCCAAGATGGTGGCTGGCAGAAGCCTGGCCTGTCTGGGCCTCCAGCCCTGGGAACACGGGCATGAGGCAGTCGAGGAGAGGGAACCGGCAGCCCTGACCACCACTGCAGCCCATCCACGGGTGCCTTGGCCAACACTGTAGGATCCTAAGTGCCAGCAACTTGCCAAGGAGCCCCTGGGGGCATCTGGACAGATGGGGGACTGGGAGGGACTTTTGTATGTGACTAAGGCACAGAAGAGATGGGCAGGGGACCAGACAAGGCAGAACAGCAGGCCGTGTGGACAGGGGGCTGGGAGAGGAGTCTGGGACCATTCCTCCCAGACCCCTGATATATGGCCATCCCTCCTGTTCTCCCCAGCTGCTGGTCTGAAATGTGGAGGCTCAGACCTAACCCTTGAAGGGCATGGGAGACCTGGAAGGAGAAGGAAGTCCCTGACCCCTGGGGCAGCTAGGAAGCAAGGGCTCTACCCCCAACCCATTCAGAGTGAGAACCAAGTAGGGCAGAGCAGCTGTCCTTAGCAGGCCAGGAAGGGGCAGGAGGTGACCATAGTGAACGAGGACTGCCAGGGCCAAGAGCCCCCTGCTTCACCAGGAGAGGGGCCAGAGGCACAGGAGCCCCTTTCCAGTGAGTGCCTGTGGCTCCTGGTGTCTGGCTCTAATTCTTGCAGCATGCCAGGTGGGCCTTGGCCTAAGAGGGGGGACATCCAGGGCATCCACATTCCCTCCTCCTGCCAGCCTGGGGTGAGGTGGGTCTAGGCTCTAGCATCCGATTAGAGTGGGCAGGGAGGGACAGGGCAGGGAAGAGCCCAGGTCAGGATATTGCACAGGATGGGTGGGCGGACCTGATGGGGGAGGGGCCTCGAAGGCTGCAGCGGCTGCTGGTCCACACCAGGGGCCTGCACAGGGCTGGTCCTGACAGGGCCGGTCCCCATGGGCTGTGCCTCTCCACAGGCCAGGCAGCAGGGGCACGGGAGCTGCTCTCAAACTCCTCTGCCCTGGCCTGTGCAGTGCAGGGCTGACCATTCCTGAAGGCTCGTGAGTGAGCCTGGGCTGTCCCCGGCAGACAGGGCTGGGCTATTCCTCCGGGAGGATATGTGTTTCTGGTCCAATAAATAAAGGGCACTGGCAAAGCTGTGCCAGCTGCCTCCTGGCCGGGATGGGAGGCTGGAAGAGGGCACCAGCCAAGGCACCCACAACTAAAACTCGTCATCAGAGCTGAGCAGGAGTGTCTTCTCAGTGTCTCGAGTGCCACTGAGGCTGTGGGAGCGTGAGAGGCTGTGGGCGCCACCCCGCCAGGTGGGCCCGGGCTCCAGGGTGGACTGCTGCGTGTACTGCTGGTAGGCGGGTGAGAAGTTGTGGATGGCGTCCTGCACAATGTCGTGAGGGTTCATGGTCTCCTTGAGGCTGCTGGAGATGCTCTTCATAGGGGCGCAGCGGCCTGTGGGCAGGAGCAGGTGGGGTGAGGGAGGGTCCCAGGGTAACCCATGCCCCAGGCCATCACTCAGCCCTCCCCTTCTGGGACAGACTCAGCGGGGACAGGACGGAGAGGCCTCTGCCGGCGGGGAGCAGGATGGAGTGGCCAGGGAGCCCAAGGCTGGCAGCTGGGCAGGCAGGCAGCAGGGGACCTCAGTGAACAGCAAGCTATAGGCTGTGAGCCCCAAATGAGTGCTCCAGGCTCCAGTGCCAGGCCGGTGCCCCACACGGGGAGTGATCCACAACCATGAGCAACGATGGGTGCAATGGCCCCTCAGCAGCAGGCTAGCCCACCCACTAGCTCCCAGCTGAGAGGACAGGAGCTCCCTGCTCTAAGAGCTTTCTCCTAATTCTCTAATGACAGGCTCCTCAGTCCACCAAGTCCAACCCTAGACCCAAGACTTCTGACCCAGACCTGGGTCTCTCCACCTTCTGTGTTCTCTGCTAAATGCCGAGGTATTCCTTAACTGGCCCTGGCTCCCAGACCAGAGCTGGGTGTAATGCAGAACAGCCAGAGGCCAGGACAGAAGAGGCAGGAAGGGGCCCTTGGCAGCTGGTGCTCTGGGCTCCCCCAGCCAGTGCCTGTGAAGATGGGATGGGGACACAGAGGGAATACAGAGAGGCATGCTGGTGACAGTGACCAGAACAGACGTGCAGGACAGACGTGCAGACAGAGCAGGAGCTCGTGTGGGGGCTCCAGAACAGACGTGCAGGACAGACGTGCAGACAGAGCAGGACCTACCGTAAGGGCCGTATGTTGGCACTGCCCGAGGCCAAACCCAGGGCAAGTGCAGGGCAAGGGGTTGGGGAGAGAAGCCAGAGAGATAAAGAGACAGCTGAGTGAAAGAACTCACCCGCCCCTCCCAGTCCCCATGGCCCTGCAGGCTGCCCCTGTGGACTCAGGTAGATTCCTGCTCCAGGAGGACTCCTCCCAGGTGCTAACAGGGGCCATCCTGATTAGTAGTATGAGTTCCCCCTCATGCATGGGCCAGGACACCCTACCCTGAGGTGTTCCAGGCTTGGCTGGGATGCAAATGCCTGCACACAGCCACATGTCTTACAGACCCAGAGACTCCTCCCACATGAGGACATTGAGGCTCACAGTGGGGATCACACAGCAGAGCTGGGGCTGCACCCCAGACTAATGTGAACATCAATTAGCCTGGACCAGGGACAGGAGCAGCAGCAGTTTGCCTGCCTAGGCTGCGCCTAGGATGAAATGCCAGCCGGGGTATTTCTTGCTTAGGTGAGTGGGTCTGGGATATTGTGTGGAAAGGTGCCCAGGCTGGCAGCGGGGAGCCTCAGCAGAGGCCCCAAGGTATGGACAAGTTCTTTCCTTGCCCCTTCAGGTGGCCCTAGGCTCTAGGCCCAAGGGTGACATTCCCATGGGCACATGCTCTGCCAAATCACGTCCAAGGGACATGGCCTTCAACACCTGCTGTGTGTGTCAGATCCTTCACGCTGGAGCCTGGCAGGAGGCAGGTGGGGCAGGGGGTCAGGCACAGAGCAGGTGTGCAGTCAGAGCCCGAGGCAGTGACCACAGCCCACTGCCAGGTGTGCCAGGGGACGAAGTCCAGCAAAGTCACTTTAAGGCACTTTGCAACCAGGGAAGAACAGGGAGGGAGTGAGCCAAGGAGCCTCACTGCGCATGGGCGCATGGGCCTGCAATGGTGCTGGGGAAGTGGGTTTCTTGTCTCAGGCCACTATTCCGGGAGATAGCTGACCCCTGGGCAGACACAATGGACAGGCTTCCCTCTCCTCAGCCTCTCTCTTTCTCCTGGATCCAGCCTTCTCTGCCCACCTGGCCCACTGCTTCTCCCCTGAGCTCCTAACTGTATGCTGCTACCAGGCCAAGGGTAGCAGGGTCTCTGACAGTGGCCCCACAACACCCATCAAAGTACATCAGGGCACTCTCCTGTACGGCCAGGGCTGCTAACCCCACTCCAAACAGGATAATTAACCGGCTTAAAAAAGCGGTTGAAGGCTACTACCATCTACTCTGTTTCTTAGAAGTCAGCAAGGCTGTTTGTTTTGTTTTGTTTTTTGGTACCGGGGGATCGAACTCCAGAACTTGCACTTTTGAGGAAGGCAGTGGAACCACTGACCCCAGCCCTTGTTTTGTTTTTTAAAGAACTTCAGAAGGAAGGAATTACAAGACAAAATAAGTAACTGTACACAGTATTGGGTGTTAAGTGCCCTCAGACACCTGCCTATTTGTTAGAGTCTCTGCCCCTCTGGCTCTCTGCTCTCAGGCAGACTGCAGGAGACAGGTGAATTACGACTCCCTAGTGCTGGCAGCAGGGCCAGGGACCCTCCTGCCGTGGTACCTTTCCTGGGAAATGCTCTGGAACTCCCCACTCTTCCCCCAACCCCAAGACCCCGCTCACACCTTGGGCATCCAGCCTCTTGTCCACATAGACTTTGTAGGTGAAGGCATGCCGCAGGGCCAGGGCTGCGAAGAACATCTCCACACAGATGATGAAGTCCTGATAGCCGGCAGCCACAGTGCCTTCGCCCACTGACACGCGGGCCGAGTGGATCTTGGGGATGGCCCCGCACTTCTCCAGGATGGCCAGCAGCATGCCTGGGCAGGAAGGCACTGTGTGGCTCAGAATGGACCTCTTCCCAGGGCCCTCTCTTCCATACAGCCCCACCAGATGCCCAGACCCCAAGGAGGCTAGAAGGGGGCACAGTTTCTCCTCTGAAACAGGAATGGTGACACAAAGCCAAGGCCTCCAAAAACCCCTCTGTTCCAGCTCCCTGTCAGCCACCCAAACTGGGATATCACCAGTGATGTGGGGCCCCTGGGTCTCCCTCACCCAGAAAATGACCCCTAAAGTTTTCTCAAAAGGGCTGTGAGAGGCCCCAGGCCTCACCCCCAGGGGGTGCACAGTGGGCCAAGGCCCCTCTGAAACTCGGCCTGGGATCCTGAGGGATATTCCTATGGCCTGAGCTCCACAGCCCCAGAGACATGAACAGGAGGGAGGGGACGGGGCTCAGAGGACAGGGTGATCAGCATCGTGAGGCTGGGAGGAGGCTGACCTTGCCAGAAGGAGAGAAAGATGACCGACTTGACCATGAAGAACTTGAGGACGGGACTGTAGGGGCTGAGCAGCTCCCGGGTAGCAAAGTAGAAGAGGAAGAGGGCGTACAGGGCCAGGCTGACTGAGATGTTGTAGATGATTGTCACGTAAAGGTAGCCACTGGTGACACTGTGGATCGGGCAGTCTGGCTGGGACCAAGCCGGCTGAGGGGCACCCCCGCCCCCGCCCTCCTCCACCCTCACCATAGCTGGCCCCCCAGGCTCTGCAGTGAGTGCTGCAGGGTGGGGTGGAAGATGCAAGGGCTGGCACTGCCAGTGAGCCCTCTACTTTTGCTGCCTCACACCGTGTCCCAGTCAGGGGCCGTGCTGAGACCACAGCCTGACAGTTAAATGACCGGTGTCAAAGTGGGTAACACCAAGCTTGCTGTACTACCCTTTCACGTGGCCAAGTGACTTCTGCCAGCCTCAGTTTGTTCATCTGCTTGGGAAGGAGGTGGTACAGGGCTCAGGCGTTGGGTATGATATGGTTGCAAACACAGGCCCAGCAAACAAATGCTTTCAGTAATCCCCACGTGAAGTGCACGTGGATAATTTACAGCGGGGTCTCCGCATGTGTGGACTTGAGCCAGCCTCTGGCTCCCTGCCTTGGGAGTGGCCACTGCCCCTGCCTGGCTCACCCTGGCAGCACTGTGCACTTGGACATGCATGTGAACATGACTATAGGTCAGGGCTAGCTCCTGGGGTAGCACAGGGCCAAGTGCAAGGGTGGCAACTGCCAGGCTCAAGCTAAAGGTTCAGGGAGACATAAGCACCACAACGCTCACAAGTGCATGGCCGTGGGGCCTGTCTGGCTGCCCCTAGCACTGAGCCAGGGCACTGCTGCAGAGCCAACGCTCCTTCCACGTGCCTGAGAGAGGACCCTCTGCTTACTCGAAGTCCCCGTCCCGGTACTTGCCAAAGGCTTGAAGGACCACGGTGCTGACAGCCATGAGTGGCTTCACCACGCAGAACTGCAGGGTGGCCTGTGAAGGAGAAGGGAAGGTCAGGGACAAGCATGTAAAAAGCAGCTCCTCTAGGGGCTGGGCCTAGGGTTCATGCCAGGGACAGAGGGGATGACTCCATGACCTGCTCCCCCAGGGGAACCGCTGTTGCCAGGGGAGGCAGGAATGTGGGAGACAGTGACAATGCAGTACAGCTCTAGATGGGACGATGCTGGGGAAGAAAGAATCAGCAATGCAGGGCAAGGGACAGGAGGCAGAAGACACCATCAGAGAAGGCTCAGAGTGGGAGGATGGACCATCAGGAAGGTGCACAGATGAGAGGGGTCAGAGTCCCTTCCTAGGAAGAGGATGCAATTCAGGCAAAGACCTAGAGACAGAGTGGGAACGTGTGCAGTGCTGAGCACTGGGGAGAGCTGCAGCAGGGAGGAGCTGGGAAGATAGGCGGGCAGGTCCTGGGGGCCTCAGCACTCTGGGCAAGGCTGGGCCCTGCCGAGGACTGGCCATGAGGACCATGGGTCGATGATGGCTCCTTTTGCCCTCCTCGCCCAGCCCCCATCTGATTCTCTGCCCCATGCTCTGGGCCCAGCCCAGGGCTACTGACTGGCACTGGAGATGGCCTATGGGAGCGGCAAGCAGAGACAGGACCCAGGACACAGCCCACATGTGGGCTCTGGTGTCCACAAAGCTGAGACTGAATGAAGGCCTGGCTGACTACTCGCTGTAGTAAGTAGCTCAGGCAGTTGCCTGGCCTGAGCAGCAGCCTCTGTGATAAGAGACACAACCAGCCCCTCAGCACAGGCTCACTGCTGTGGGGACACGAGTACCAGAAAGGAGTGTCCTCCTGGAGGTCTCCCACTCTGGGCCCTCAATGCAGGCTCTGTGAACCTGCTCAGCCAACAGATGTCCTCAGCTAGGCTTCTACAAACCCTGCAGAGGCCCTATGAACTTTGGGGGTGTCCATGTGCCCCAGAAGGCCTGGAGCCACACTTCACAAAGCAAGTCCACCTGCACACAAGGCTCCCGTGACAAGCAGTGGGGCTGGGCAGAGGCTCCCAGGCACTGGGGCTGGAGCAGAGAGCAGCCTGTGCTATGGGACTGCCACAGAAGAGCCATGCTGGACAGGCAGGGCTGTGCTGCTGCTGCCAGAAAACCCCACAGAAGTCCCCTGGCCCCAAACCCTGCCTGGAGGAAGTGGGACCAGCCTCTGGGGAACAAGGAAGAGCTACAGGTTACACGGAGTGTACGTGAGGAGCTGGCCAGCTGCTTGTTGTGACCTGAGTACTACTGTTATCCTCTGTCAGAGATGAAGAAACTAAGGCACTGAGCAGCCCGAATGGCAGATGCAACACTGGAACCCAAGCCATCAGGACCAGAGCCATTGCCAACCACATCCTGGGTCACCTAGGATGGATGTCAGCGTCACCTGGAGAGTCTCCAACACACGCTGTGCTGGGCCCCATTCCAAACCTTCTCCCTCAAGTTGGAAGGATGGCAGCCTGGGAATCTGCTCTTAACAAGTGCTCCAGGAGAGGAGGACACGGCCTGGCCTGAGATTGCCCAGGCCCCTTTGGGACTCAGATGAAGCTGCGAGTACTCCCTCACCCTGGGAAAAGGACAAAAGTCCTCATGCGTTCCTTCTTTCTACCACCTCTCCTGCCACCGCCAGCATCCAAGCTGGCTGGGGAATCATTTACAACTCGGTGACACTCACTGCCATCATGAGATCAAAATTTTGTGGACAATCTAATCATCCAACAAGGCTGTGAGTCACAGCTGGGCCTGGAACCTGGGCAGAACCCTTTATAAACAGTGGCTCTTGATGCCCCATCCTACACTCGGCACACTTTTAACTCCTTCTCTGCAGCCCCAGTACTGTGTCTCAGGGAGAGCCCCCAGGAAGAAAGTGGGGGAAGGAAGCTCTCAGGCCACTTGACCAGGAAGAGGCCCTGAGGGTGTATAGCCATAGGCCAGCCCTCCAGTGGCCACCAAGACTTGGATGCAGGTTTCATTTCCTTCCTGACTACTTGATGCTGGAGGGGCTGACAGAGGCCCCATGGAGACCAATGCCACGTTCCCCAAAACTGGGTGTGGCACCCTCATGAGCCAACACTCATATTAAAGGCTTTATTTACCTCCCTGACCTCATCTGTTCCTTATAACCACCCCTTCAGATAAGCATCATTACACCCACTTTACAGAAGAGCAAACTAAACTCACAGAGGTTAAGTAAATTATCTGAGGTCACACATCAGAGGAGAGACTAAAGTCAGACTCCGATGGTCAGACACCCTGGCTCAGGCACTTAATGTGGGAAACCAGCATATTGCCTCAAGCCAGCCACTATGCCCCCCTGGAGGGTGACTGAGGGAACTAAAAAGCCTCTGGACCACCTGCAAATGTGAGAAGAAAGTGGAGACCACACAGGCCTGAATGCCCTGGGTCTTTAGTACTGAAGCCCACCTGCCCCCAGCCATAGCCAATAACTTCTCAAACTGGGATTCTAGAATCCCATCCTCCGATTCACTCACACAGGGAGACTCAGTCAAAAGAAGCAAGAGTCTGGGGCCATCTCCTCCTGCCCCAAGTCACAGCACACGTTCCCAGGATACTGAGTATGCACTGCCACCCCAGCAGGAGCTGGGAGCCCGATGAACTCCACAGATGAATTCAGGGTGGCCTGCAGCATGGTTCTCCTCTCAGCCCAGGTGTGGATTCTGGTCCTAGCCTGCTCCCAAGCCCGGTGACACTTACCTGCTTGCAGAACCGCAGAAATCCAATGGAATAAGTCTTTCCCCAGAGGCAGCATGTCCCATACATGCAGCTGGACCTGGGAGAAGAAAGCACAGGAGAAGGGCTAGTGAGTTGAGCTCAAGGACTTCGGGAGAGGCGGGCTGGGGAAGGTGCCCTCGCTCAGACCAGACAAACTGGGCAGAGAGCTGATGTGGCCTGAGGAGAGGCCAAACCCAGTGAGGCGCTGCAAAGTATATGAGCAGTAGGCTGTGCAGGAACAAGGCTGCCCCGGCCACACAGTAACAAACCAACTCAGAACATACTGAACGTAAGACCACAAAGGGAGAAACAGACTACAGGAAAGGACAAGGGCAATGGGAAGACAGAGATGCCAAAAGCCAGACACCCTCCCAGGAGTCCATACAAACGGCCTTGCTCAGGATCTGTGGGAGAGGCACAGCTGGTCCATGTGCCAGCCGATACCAGAACAGACTGAAGAGCGTGAGATCACATGGGGCTCCGGGGAGGCACAATACTCACTCAATGGGCTTCCCTCTGATCTCTGACATGATGGCACTTTCTCCCCCGAGGTACTCATAACACAGGCTCAGGAAATTGTAGATGACCAATGCTGTGGAGAGGCCCAGGGACAAGACTCAGATCAGAAGCATGGGCAAAGAGGAGGTGGAATCTTAAATAGCCACAGCCACAGCCATAGCCAAGGGAGGAGCCTCAGATACCAGGTTATGCAAAAGAAGTCAACGTCCCATTTTTTAAGTTCAAAGTCAGGTGCAGCTTAATCACTAGCAGGCAGACCCACATGGTGGTAACAATCCAAGAAAGGCCCAGAAGTGATCACCAAATTGAGGGGCGGTTGGAGGGCTGGCAATGTGTAGTTCTGGGGTGAAATGATAGTCTAGATTAGTATTTATTAGTTTTATCCCCCTATTTGTACATCAACAGATCACAATTTTACACCAAGAAAACAATGCTACGATTTCAAGAGAAATTCTAAGCAAGACTGAGAGCAGAACTTTCATACAACGTGCAGTGGAATCTGGCATACAGAGGGCACCGTAATCTCTAACAAAACTTGCGGGGTGGTGGGGGTGAATCTGGTGAAAATGTCTTGAGGTCTCAGTCAGCTCAGTGAATCAGGACGCAGCTCAACATCACAAAGACCCCGAATTTACAGCAACAGCAATGGCACAGTGGAAGTGTGCTGTGAAGGCCCGAATGCCGAGGCAATGAATGATTCAGCAAAGCACCCACAGCTCTGTAGGATGGAGGATTTCTGCTGGGCCTGCTGCAGGGGGCCGGAAGCATGCAGAGGTGCCAGCATCCCACACTGCTTCCCAGCAGCTGCAGATGCCTCTTGCCTTCTCAGCAGGTACTGTATCAATCCTCTGCCTGGGGCGCCTGACCCCCAAGTCCCATGACCCCAGCTCCAAATTTGGTCTTGGGGGGTTCGTGCTCTCAGCCCAGGGATCCTGACTGGCAGCCAGCCACTTCACAGTACTTCTTGCCTTAGTGTGCATTCAGCCACTGACTTGGGTCACCTCAAAGGGAGAACCTGGGCCTGTGAACCAGAAGTTCTGGATGCTACCTGCTGTGACACAGACTGCCATTCTCACAGGAGCCTCAGTCATTTAAAGGTGCTATGTCAGGACTGGAGGTGCAGTTCTGGGGAGAGTATGGGCCCAGCATGCCCGAGGCACTGCGTCCCATCCCTAGCACGAGGGGTGTGCTGTTTTCCTGAGATGTAAAAGCCACACATGGCCATGATGATTCATGACTAGTGATGTGGGAAGTAAATAATGTACCAAAGTAAAACAAAACGAAGCCAACGACCAACTGGCCTCACAGACACATGACCCCTGAACAAGAGCCCATCTTCCTCAGAACATAGGCCCCAAGCTGGCACCTGGGCAGGGCACAAACATCTACCTACTTGAGCCCAGGCACACAGAATCCTGCAGATGTACTTTTAGGCAGAAGCTGGCCTTCAGCGATTTAGGAAGAAATATATTTGGGGTACTGTGAACCACTCCCAATTGTTGAAATCTATTATGGTCTCCCATCTTCACAGCCCAGAGCAGATCTCACGCTTTGTCTGAGTCCACGACTCAGTCTCCTATCTGCTAGTGGGGACAAGAGGAGCACTTGCTGTGACAGGTGGCCATGAGGTGCAGGTGAACACACGAAGCGCTCACAGAGGGACCGACTCAGGGTGCTGAGCACTGGCTGTCATAGCCATTACTGCTGTCTGCCTGCCTTCCTCAGCCTGGACAACCTGTGACAGGGTCAAGGACCCTGTGCACTGCCTGGCCAGAACAGAGGCAGCCCAGGATGTTCGGTGACAGCAAGGCTCTCTATCATAACTCACTCTCTACTGATTAGAATCAGGGGTAGGCACCCAGCCAAGTGTGCAGTCAGCCTATTGAAAAGCTTGTCCAAGATCACACAAGGCCAAGGGGATGAACATATCCATTCTATGCTGGGTCCAGCTGTGTTGTGACAGACAGTATTTTCCAGAGGCAGCCACACCTCGTGTTGTGGTCCCCCTACCCTGAGAAGGAGGGTCTCATTCCCTCCCTTTGCATCTGGGTGGACCTGAGTGACTAGAGTGGGAGTGATATTTTGTGGCATCTGAAAAGTTCTCCTCCCCCGATTTTTTCTCATCTGCCTCTTCTATTTCAAAATCCTTGATCTTTTAAAGGTGCTCTGGGGCCACCAGTCTGTAAAATACCAATCTGCTGACAGTTTCTTTAAAGAATCACTAATGAGTCAATAACAGACTCACTGACTCTTTGAGAAAGGGGACAACACAAAGTTCCTCAGACATGATTCAACCAGTCCAAGCCAGGCCCACTGACCACCTGGACCAATTCCGCCCCTTCCTAGGAAATTACAGACCTGAACAAAATGCCACCCCGAGACCGAGCAAAGGCTTAAAATGGAAACCTCCATGTAATTCCAGGAACACAAAGGCCTGGCAGCCCTGGACCCAACAATAGAGATGCTGAAATGCAACCAGCGCCTCACCAGGCACCCTTGTGACTGTGGTTCAAGATTGGATCCCTGAAATGCGCATCTGAGGGACCAAGGGACCTGCAAGTCAGACCTGCCAGTCCATCAAGAGATGGTTTCTCTCTCCCCTGTCCTGGACAATAAGGTACCTGGAATTTTCTGTTCCATTCTAGGTTAAAAAAAAACAAAACTTAAGATAGTGACAATGCTTGCCAGAGAGAATCCAGGGAGAAAGACCAAGACAGAGGTGATCCAAAGACTAGACTAGTCTTGAGGCCTAAGACCAGAATGGGCAGAGTCTTCAGAGCAGGAAGGGTGACCACCCTGCCCGTGGGAGTCTGTGAGAGGCAGGTACCCCTCGGCAGAGAGGAGGGAGGGGTCCTTTCATACCCTGAGACCTGAGCCTTCTTCACTGGCAGCCTCTCTCATAACAGGTACAATGCGTCACCCACATTGTGGACAGGGGACCTGCTCCTATGCACATCCCAAGTTCAAACAGCTATGCTCTCTTCCCTCAGGGCTTCCTGTCCTTTACTGACCACACATGTCCCCAAATGCTGTTTCTGACCTCTCTCCACTGGTTCTTCAAAATATCTTCCTTTACTTGGATTCACTGAGCTGTGTGTGTCAGAGCTGTGGCCAATGGTGCCACTACCAGACAGTGTGTCCTCCGGGCAGCAGAGTGGTGTGGTTCGTGTGTGGCCTGAGTCCGCTGTCCTCAGTAGTGTTTGCTTACTCTGCTGTATTCTCCCTGCCTGTGAAGGTGCCAGGAGGCTCAGATTTTCTAAAATCTGAGATCCAAAAATGAGTAAAAGAGGGCCGGAGATTTAGCTCAGTGGTTCTGCCGCCTGCCTCGCAAGTGCAAGGACCTGAGTTCAATCCCCAGTACCAAAAACAAAACAAAACAAAACCCCAAAAACCAAAAACCAAAAAAACAAAATGAGTAAAAGAAGCCTCATTTTTCCACCTATTCCTCTCACTAATGTAAAATCCCATGTCCTGCAGGGAGAAGCTGGTTCTCTCTGATTCACTAAGCCGGGCCTAGAACAACATGCAGCTCCAGGAACCAGGGGTGAGACTGGCCTCTGGCCACTGCTCCCTGGTCACTTTGGCTGTTGTGCAGCCTGCTTGAAAGTTGCTTTTTACATGTGTACAATTCTGATGCTAATGTATACTCCACTGGCTAAGTGGGAGGTGACAATAAGCTCAGGTGAGGAAAAAAAGGGGCAACACTGAGTGCCACATAAACTTTCTTAACCAAACAGACCGTGTCACCTCCTCTGATCATGGACTACCCAGAGCTGTCTCAAGGTCTCATTACCCTACCACCACCACCGCCAACAGTCAACCTCAAATGTGCGCAGGCAGCCGCAACCCATCCCCTCTGTTGTCTGCCCCTGCATAGCTTCCTCCCAGTGGCATGTCCCAGAGCCATGGAAATCAAGCCCTCCGCAGATGGATCCTGAGCAAGATCCTAGGTGAGTTACTTTACTGCTGTGAACCTCAGCCCTCTCCACAAAGAACAGGAATTCTACCACTGACTAGAGGTTCACAGGCTAAACACATTCATTTCTACTCCTCTAAAATGCCACTGAAGTCAAGGGGCCTGTCAAAGACAGGATCGTGGTAATGGGAACAACTGACAAGAAACATCACCAGAAGTTCTTGATGGTGCATTGAGGTCACTGACCTAGGAGAGGGAGGAGCCAACAGAGCCCCAGACACTGGACCTGTGGGTCATGTTGCCTAGCACAATGACTACAACTATTCTACTTCCTGTGAGATTTTGGAACACTGGTGACAAAAACAAGAGGCTAAAGGAAAAAAAAAAAAAGTAAGAAGGTACAAAGGATCAGAGTCCAGGAGACTTTTTTAAAACACCAGGAAACAGCCATCAAATAGAACAACATAATGAAGATTCTGTCAGGTTCCAAGAATAGAGCCAGGCACTCTCTTGGTCAGAAAGCTTCTGGAGGATGTACTCCAACCAGACAGTAAGCACATCACGGGCAAGGGTAAAATGACATCCAGGGACCAGGTGACAACGACACAGGAGAAGCAAGTGTCCCAGGAAGATGGCAAATGTCAGCCGGGTGACTGTTGAGCAGTGAAGGGACTTGGAAGTGCAGTCCAGACTGGAGCAGAAACACACCAGGAGAAATATGGCCAGGGGAACGAGCCGGGACCAACAGATCCGCACATCCATCATACTCTACTCTGACTCTTGGTGTCAATGCTTAAAAATTTAATGGAAGCCTTCAGGAATAAATGAAAAATATAGGCACATGGGAAACCGAGCAAGGTAAAAAGCAAAAGTAGTAGTCCCTGAAGCAAACTTAGAAACAATGACCCTGTCACACTAAAAAGGTGAGGGTCAGCGAAGTATAGGCGTGCATGGGTGTGCATGAGCCTGTGTGTGAATGGAGTAGGGGAAGATGTCCAAACCAGAAACTTCCTAGAGTGGGAATCACCATAATACCACATAAACTGAAAAACAGAAACAATAAAAGCATATTTTTAGGTTACTCTAGAACACAGTTGAAAGTGCTATGAACTTGGGGTGAGCAGGACCTGAGATAATTTTTCAACCATGTGCATGTATCACTTAAATAAAAGTAAAGGTTTAGTGGTATTTTTGTGTGTCATTCTTAAGTTTTTTGAGACAGTCTCACTCTGTAGCCAAAGCTGGCCTTAAACTGGCAATCCTCCTGCATCAGCTTCCCAAATGCTGGGATTATAGCTTCGTGCCACTGCGTCTAATAGTTTTCTTTTCAATGTAGAGTTTAATTTAAAAAAAGAAAAAAGAAGGCCAGGGATTTAGCTCAGTGGCACTGCTCCTGCCTCACAAGCACAATGTCCTGAGTTCAATCCCAGGCGGTACCAAAATTAAAAAAAAAAAAAAAGAATAAAAAAGAAAAAGGTAAATATGTGAAATGCTCAGATCTGAGCAGCCTTGGCTGGATCTGAAATCAAGAGTCCTCAGGCCAAAGCTCCTCTGACTTTTTTCCTGGCCCTTCCTGCATCCTGCGGCACTGAGGGGCAGGGGAGTGAGGTGGGGAGACTGGGGGTTTTAAGGGACAGCTGCATGGACAGAAGGACCAGGACAGCCAAGACCTGAGCAAGATGTAGGATGGGTCAGACAAGGGTCATGCCTGCTGACTCAGACCAGAGGCTGAGGCTCAGGAAGGCAGCCTGAACTTCAGGGCAGCTGCAAGCTGTTTGTAAACTCCCTGGGAGCAGCCAAGCTGGACAATGGTGTTGCTAGGAGATGGGCTTCAGAGGGCCTCAGACTTCCCGCTGGGACGTCTCCTTGGGCTGGGAGGTTGGGAGGCAGGTCTGGGCAGGTGGAACAAAGAGGCTGCTAGAGTGGGGATGCCAGCAGGCCATCTGCTGCCCTCTGCAGCACAGAGTGAGGGATCCCCTGGCTATGTCCTCCACCTTGTTTTGTACACCCCACCTTTGGGGCCCAGCCAGCCAGAGTTTACACTTACCCCTCTGTCACACAAGAGAAGCCCCCACAGCATCGGACAGAGGCTGTTCCTGGGAGCCCATTCAAAACTGGCACCTGCAGGGAAAAGGGTCCCCTAGTCCCACCGGCTTCTTTGGGACCCAGCTGCTCCCATGAACATTAGGAACTCCAGCCAAGTCCTAAGCTGTCCTCACCCACATCAGCATTCTCCCCTGGAGGCACACAGGAACACCAGCATGAAGAGGGTGCCCGGGTTCAGGGGCTCTCAGGGGAACTTAGGGCACACAACAGGCACTAACAAGTTCCTTTCTTTGTTCACAATCTGGAGCTGGCTGACAGTAGCAGCTTGGTGGTAACAAATGGCATGCTAAGCATGTACAAGGCCCTGAGTTCTACCCCTAGGACCAAATATATACATATATATGGCAACACTTCCTGTGTGGCCCGCTCTGCCCAGGCCTGGGCCACACAGCACAGCCTCTCTCACAGGGCTGCGGTACTGAGTGGGGCAGAAAGTACCAAGGAACTACAACCATGTATGGCTGGGGGTGTGGTGGCAGGAAGGCCTCTCTCGGGGGGACACTGAGCAGACAAGGATGAGGTCGGCCACACACGGGCCCGGAAACACCTGACAGCTCCAGCTGGAAAGCAGGCAACATGGCTGTGGTGGGGGGCGAGGGGCTGTGTGGTGTGGGGAGCGGAGGTGCCATGGGCTTCCCCAGATATTTCCCGTGAGTCCCTGCGATACACAAGGCTCAGTGTGAGAGGATGAGAGACTTTAGCTGCTTAGGGTGGAACAGGCTGCACCCCAACATCCATGGAGCCTAGGGCAGGAAAAAGCCTTCCAGGGCAGGCAAAGCACCAACTGCTGGGTGTGGCATGAGGTCAGTATGTGCACGAGGGAGCCACATCTGGTCACTAACCAAAGCCAGAAGAGTAGGTACACGGTGGACACAGGGTCAGGAAGCACTGCTGAGCCCTGGGGAGGGTGGGCAATGGGTACCAGGGCAGAGACTTGGATTCAGGGATTCCTCCTTCCCTCCCTGTGGGCCTGCTTGGGGCAGGCCTGGGCATCCCTGGCCCAAGTTTTCCCTCTTCACCCAACTTGTACATGTAGATTTTTCTAAGCTGCAATTTCAAGGGTTGTTATATTTTTGTGCATCAACAGTAAAAGAAAATCTAAACTGTACAGCCTACCAAGTTCAGTATGTCTGTCTTTGTTTCCCAGTACAATCCCAGTCATGGAACTCTCTTCTGACTGAGGCCAGCCCCCTGCACAAGCCCCCCAGTGACCTCTTAATCTCTTTGTAGTGATTATGTAGAGGCTGCAGATTTCAGAGGGAAGAAAGGGTGAGGACTAGCATTTTTTCCCCAGTACTAGAGACGGAACCCAGGGCCTTTGCACTGACATACATCCTCAGCCCAATTTGTTTGTTTGTTTTTGGTACTGGAATCGAACTCAGGACCTTGCACTTGAGAGGCAGGCATGGTGCCAGTGAGCTAAATCCTTGGCCCTGGTTTTTTTTTTTTTTTTTTTTTTTTTTGTAAAATCTTTCTCAAACACACAATTACCTACGT